TTAGTGATAACAGGAGTAACTGGGGCACTTGGCAGGAGAAGTCAGAGATTCAGTAAAGCTAGCCAATGCCTCCCCTTACTATGTACATATGCAGGCACAACAGAAAACTCATTCTACTCAAACCACTGAACAACAACCTGATGGCAGCTGCTTCCTAGCACCAGTGAGCCAGATTAGTATCAAACCCAAAGAGTCACAGGTGAAAGACCCAAGGCAATTCAACCCACAGACACTGATGTGTCCCCCTCCAGCCCAAGCCTCCTTACCATCAGGTTCATTGCAATAGGTTGCTGGGTCTGACTGAAGACTGTAGAGGCGAGCCTGGAAAACAACGTGCAGGCACAGGAGGAACAGACATTAGTCAGGGGGGAAGATAGAGCTGGGTGTGCAGCGCATGTCTCTGGGGGGCTGGAAGAGGGCACTCCGTACACACCTTGGTGCTGTCATATGGCTCTGTGGTGCCCGTGGGCGTTGCCATCAGCGTTATAACATCGCAGTCAATGGTCTTATCTGGTGAAGGTGCAAACGTGTCCGAGATGACACCCAGGAAGTCAGAGAGCCCCTTCCTCACCTTTTCAGTTGTGCCTGAGGAGCCTTCTGTCTTCTTAAAGAGAAACAGAGATGTCCTCTAACTAACAGTGCCTGAACCAGAGGGGAGAATCCCACGTTGTCTTTTCTTGTGGGAAGGGTCCCTTTAAAATACATTAATGGAGCATCCATGCACAGAGCTGACCTGTGAGGAAGGTGTGGTGGCAGTGACTACGTGAGGATGGACAAATGGACATGGTGATGGCACGAAGTGGGTAGGAAAGCAAGCATGGGCTGGGGGGAATGACAGGCAGGAGCGGCTGGTGTGGAGAAGGGGCAAGGAACTCTGCTGTCACACCACCGATGCCAGGCAAGGGTTGAGAGCCTGGGGTAAGAAATGCAAGAATCAACTAAGGGGACAGGGTGGGTGTTGTGTTCAAGCAGGATCAAAAGTAGTACAAGGAGCTGCCATTCAAAACGCAGGGAACCCGCTATCTGGTAACTCCCTTCACTTGGCCTCCTGAGCACAAACCTGCAGTGATGCTGCTGAAGCTATTCCTCTCTCCTCAGAAGAGGCCTAGAAAAGGGGAACCTATCACTAGGCTTATCAAAATCCCTTGGCAGAACATATTGTGCCTCAACTCATGCCACTGCTTGCTGGATAGTGGGGGCTGGGTGGCAAGCCGTTTCAAAGCCTGGCAGCAGAACATACATGGGAGATTGGAAGGGGTAGGGAGGAAGTAGTTCCAGCCAGATGCTCAGCAGAGAATGGGGATTCACTTGGGGCCCTGCCTAATTCACATTCCCAGGCGCAGATGGGTATCAGTGGGAGGACTCTCCCATGCTTGTGTGGAAAGCAGGCCAGGGGCTCCAAAAGGCCATCCCTTCACAAGCTGCAAAAGCAAATCAGGAAGCTGGCAGCCCCTACACAGTATCTGCCTGCACACCCATACACGCACACCCCAGCCCACCCTATCCTGACAACCCCGTACGTAGCCCTGGCATCAAACAAAGGGAATCACATAGGGGGCACCACTAATTGTACTGGGAAGTGGAAATCAAATTTAAAGTCCAACTGAGATGCAAGACTGGGTTGGGATACTCCTGCTAAAAAGGTACAGTCCTGAGAAACAACTGCTCTGCTTTGCTACCAGGGATCTCCCTGCCAGATCCCCAGTCCTACCCCCTCTGGAACAAGCAAGAGGCAGAGCTTTGGCTCTCCGGGTCCAATACTCACAGCCAGTTTCTCCTTGACCACACTGGCTGTGGCAGCAATAGTGCAGGCTGTATCATGCTGCACCACTTGGGTGAACTCAGCCAGGTCCCGTTTCATGAACTCCAAAGCTTCTGTGGACTGGAAGAAACAGACACAGATCATATCAACTCCAGTCTCTGATAAAGCTATCTTTGCTCTGGGAACACCTGAGGCTTCAAAATCCTGGAACTGTAGAGGCCCCTATCCTAGCCAAGGAACTATCATATGGAGTTGAACAGCCCATCAGCGCTTAGGCCCTCTTGATCACAAAAATAACCATGTTTACAACATGGCTGGGAAAGTCCTATGTGCAAACCATGTCACCACTTGTTCTTTACTTGGCTTAAGTGGACAGAAATAACTCTTCTGGGAGACTGCAGGGCAGGGGTAGAGGTTGGGCAGAGGGAGGGACAGAGTCAGGTTTTGGCCTTGACATATAACCAGGGACGGTGTCACAGGCAGGAAAGTACTGTATTTTTTTCTGACTGCTTTGAGGCAGACACTTCTGTAGTGCTGACAGGAGCTTAACAAGAACCGTCACTATTGCACAAATCTACATGGGCATCTCTAAGGGTAACAAAGAGACTAAACAGTTTGAATGTTTTTTTGTGGTTGTTGTTGTTTTTGTTGGGTTTTTTTTTAATTTGTTTTCTTGAAGCCTTTATTGTTATTTCATCCACCTTTGCCTGAGAACTACAAATACCTGGGGAAATGAGCTGCAAGCTAGCTTAGGTTTGCCTTTACCCAAGTCAAACTTCTCATGGCAAGTTGCAATAGGTGCCTCTAAGCCAGTGGTTCCCAACATTTTTTTTTTGATGCGACCCTAAATTGGCTACCAACAGGACCTCCTGACCCTGCACCACGGGGGCTGCTGGGAGTGGAGTGTGGCGGCAGCAGTGGCCTTGGAGCAGGGGCTGGGGAGGGGGAACCACTATAGCCCCCTTTGTGCACAGTGGCCCTGCCCCACCCACCTGCCACTCTTGGGCCACGCACATGAGTGTGCGTGTGGGCCCTTCGCAACCCTTCTGAGGACCCTCCACAACCCAATTTGGGTCACGTCTTGAGGTTGGGAACTAATGCTCTAAGTCTTCTAACAGGCCCAGGTGCTTTGAGAATTCTTCTCAGCTCCCCAGCACCGGACACCTTTTTGAGGCACAGATTTTAGAACTTGAGTCTAGTTCAAGCCTTCAAGCGATCTTTCAGATCTCTCACATCTGAACGGAGGGTGTCTGTTTACATCAGATTAAGATACTTTCCAATAAACAAATTTTCCCTACACACAAAAATAATGAATGGCATCACTATTAAAAAGCAATGACATGATGTATTTATCTCAGGTTTCAGTACCAAAGCATTTTTTGTATTACATACATCCACCACCACAGAAACACACACAGTTGTGAGTACAGAGAACCAGTACAGAGCACCTTACACAATGCTGGTGAGAATGGAAATACTGGCTCAGTGTCCTACACTAACAGTTCCTTTTTGGATAATTTCCATCACGGGTTTTACATCCTTACAGAGCAGCCAAGTTCTTTGCTTCCTAAGTCTCAACAACTACTTTTTGATTCACTTCAAATTGATCATAAGCTCTGAGAAGTGCATCCCACAAACAACATTTTGCATTGTAATATGACAGCCTTACCCAGAGCTGTACAGTTGTTTCATGAAAGCATGTTAAGAAAGTACAGGCAGTCCTCAGACTTACAATATAATTTGTTCCTGAAAACTGTCTTAAGTCGAAACATTGTAACTCAGAACCATTTTCCCATAGGAAACAATGTTATAAATGGGGATTGGTTCCTGAACTAAGGCCTGATACCCTATTTTCACAAAAATAACCCAGAATTTTGTACTCAATCAATTATAGATGAGTAATATAGCTACATTAATGCATTTATATTGTAGAGACTTCTCAGGAGTCTTGGCAGCAGGTTTTTCTGGAGTCTCATCAGCTTTCTTAAAGAAAATGTCCAAGGAAGTTTGGACAGATATTCTCCAGGGAGACGAGCAACGTAGCAAACTTGTTTGCTGACATGGCATCTCGTCAGATCAAGCGTTGTAAAGTCGAAATTGACCTCAGAAAATTGAAACAGGGTGTCAATTTATAAATTTTGTAAGTGCAAAACGTTGCAACTCGAAACATTGTAAGTCGAGGACTGCCTGTACAGCATTATATCTGAACCGTAGGAGGTAACAGTGCATTGCCCCTAAACACCTAGCTATAAACTTTACCAAGGGTTTTGAGAGAGGAATTCAACACCACATCAGTGGGAAAGGGTTATTTAGACGCTGATGATCAACCAGGAAGACTTTCTAGTGAGAGAGGCTTATACTGCAGAACAAAGAGCACCCAAAGGGAGGTCTTCTACTGGGCCTGGTCTGCTCAGTTTGCAGAAAAACCCACAAGAAAAGTAAGGTAATTAAATTAACACCCCGTGTGTTTCTATGGGGCGAAACAAAGTTTGGTTTCCTCATTCTGCGGTGACCTGGCCCGTTCTGCTGACACGCCCCTTACCTTGTCTCTGACAGCTTGGTAGCTTTGCTGCAACCAGCTTCTCCACCAGCCTCCATCTTCCCTGTTACAGGACAAACACATGAAGCTGAAATTGTGAATGTCACAATGTAAATGCTGGCCGAGCAGCCCAGTAACGCGCACATCAGCATCTCCATGGGGGCAGCGGCTGCAGCCACCGGTTTTCCCCTGTGTGCAAACCCTCCGCACCTTTCCCCTCCCACCTGGCAACCGCCCTGCAAGTATTTCAATGGGATTTTGTGCCAATGCGGATTTCAAAGCTCAACCTTCTTGCCCGATGGGCTGCCTGTGTGGTGCCCTGTCCCGCTGCAGGACAACGGTCCTGATCCAGCACACAGCAGGGCCCTACCTGGCCTTGCTGGGGCCCCAGCCCCGGGGAGAGGGGACGTGGCCCAGGCCCAATCCGGAAGAGGGCGCGGCCCAGCTCTGCCCCATAGCAGGGGGTCGAGGTTTGGGGCTGGAGGGCCGCTCGGCCCGAAGGAGGGACCAAGCACCCGGGGCCTGGTCCTGCGAAGCGCGGAGGGAGCTCGGCCCCCGCGGGACAGCCCCCAGCCGGCTCGCACCGCTGGGTCAGGCCGTCCCCGGGCTTCCCCCACCCGCGGTGGCACCACCCCTTGCTTCTCCCCAGTCCGCTCACCCTTCCGCCATCTTGGGTGTCTGACGTCACCAATATTTACTGACCTTTGACCCGAGCCGCCCCGCCTCCCGCCGGATTATTTTTAGCCTCGGCTCCAGTAGATGGAAGGGAACGTGACATCACTTCCCCTTTCCCCGCGGGCGCGGGAGCGGCTGGGTACGGTGGCTGCTGAGGGTCGGAAGGCTCTTCGCGTGGGCGCTGGGAGGCGCGCCCACAGCTCCAGCCCCGGGGGCAGTCCCCGGCACAGAGGGGTATCCTGCCCGCCGGGCGGTCTCCTGTAGGGCGGATCTAGGGGGTGCGGGGGCTCTTTCTTCCTGGCAGACAGAAACTGGTGGCTCTGCTGCAGGCAGGATGGAGGCAGGAGCCAGCAGACCCCCGTGGGGAGGAGCCGGGCCCGGCCCCCGGCTGTGACCGGGGGCGCAGAGGGGCAGAGCCAAGGCCGGCTGCATTGGCGGGACACGGAGACCATGCAGAAGGGCCTGGGGGTCAGGAGCCAGGACGTCGAGCGGCTCCGTGGGCGCTGCCTGCCCAGATGTGCCAGGCAGCTGGTTTGAACCCCGGGGTGCCCCCCCTGGTTCCCCAGTGAGCGTCTCTCTGGCGGCTCTTTGCCCAAACCTAAGTGCTGGGTTTTGGCCCATTTGCTGTCCCGGCTGGAGGGGTTCATGTGACAACTGCCTGCTTTCCTGACACTGCTCCTGTGTGAACTGCAGCTCTCAGCATGGCTGCAACTAAAAACCCAGCTTCCAGCTCCCGTCACGTTCCCTTTTGCTTTGTCAGTGCCTCTCCCTTGCTAGGGTGATCTGTCGCAGGGCTCCTGCCACCTGGTATTATTCCCTCCAACAGTGCCCTCTTTGTGCCAGCCAGAAGCTGGGCTGTGTGTGCTGCCAAGTAACGATCCACAGCCGCGAGCTTCCCAGCAGCATGGAGCTGCCAAAATCAGCAAGGGCTCCAGCAGCGTGAGCTTCCCCCAAAGGAGCGGCTGGCTGGAGCTAGTTAGGATTGTGGTGGCGTATGCGCCGTTTTCACTGCAAAGCCGTCTCTCTGTCTTTGCTGCAGGCAGTCCTGCCTTCCTGCCTTCCCTTGGGGGAATGACTTCAATGGCAGCACTTCTGTGTCAGAAAGAGCACAGCTGTGGTCCTGGTAATTAGCTCAGAAAACCAGGCTTGAGTGAAAAATAAGACGCGGAGAGAAAAATCTACCCCTTCCAGTGAGGCCCTGATGGAGTCAGCCCCTTCCCCCACCCCCCATCTCCCCTCTGGCATCAACAAGACTTGAGTCACTGCTTGCTCCTTTTCATTTAAAAGCCTGATCCTGCAGTGCCAAGCACCAGAGTTGTGGTTGTTCGTTCTTCCAGGATCTGGCTCTTTGTGTGGGTTTGCATGCTCTGTGCTTCTACGTACTTGAGATCTTGAGTTAAGAGTGAGAGAGGAAAGGGACATAGAGATGATGCATCACAAAATGTTTCCATGTGAGGGATGAATTGGACTCTTGTGTCTTTTGCTGCAATCCACTGACTAGTTTCTGATCACCTGGGTCTTGGGCCATCCAGTCCAAAGGATGTGATGGTGTAGAGGCTTTGTCCTCTCAGCTGCATGTACATGCTTTGCTGCATTCACCCTCCTACACCCCTGGGGGCTGGGAGCAAGCTGTTTAACCTTCTGCCCTAAGATGGAACAAGTTCAGAGGCAACATTTTTGGTCTAGGTGCCAAAAATAGCAAAGCTACTGTAAGACCAGGCTGGGTGCAAAAGGTGAAGGGGGAGGAAATGCATCTTTCCTATCCCTTGAATGGGCAACAGGGAACCTATGGAGCAAGCTACTAAATGCTCTACCTACGTTGTACATTCATGTCCAGATGCTCCCTCCTACACACCATTAAGCACGCATCATACGCTGGGAATTTTACTGAGCAAGTTATACGTGCTCATCAGAATTGCCAGCTCTGCTTGCAGTGAACACCGCCACAAAGAAGAGAAACAAGCTAACAATCTGTAAAAAAGAAAAAAAAAACAAAATGATTTCTTTGTTCCACTATTTGCAAAGGAACTCAAGTGAGCCAGAGCAGACATGAGTAAACAGACAGTTTGGCAACAGATCCTGCTGGTCAACTAACTCAGAGTCAGTTAAACCCATGGAAGAAATGGATTCCAGAGGCAGAGCCTGTCACCCCACTGATAGGGCCCTGTCTCTCTCCCCACAAGGAATGTACGTCTGGGGACTTGTGACTAATCTCTGAAGCAGATCTGTTCCAGCTGATCTCAAATCCTGGGGTGATGCATCAATAGAGAGACTGTCATATGCTGAGACTAGAGGGTTGGGTGCTTACATTTCCATCCTCTCGCTCCAGCTATATCCGTGCATGTGCCCCACTCCAGAGGGAATGCCTCTTGCTGAACACAGGAGATGAGCCTGGCTATGAAATGGCCAATGAATTCAAGCCATCTGCTTCAGATTACTAGCTGAGTGACAGCTTCATATGGGTCAATGACTTTCATTATCCCAACAAGAAGCTGCCATGTGCCTGCATGTCAAGAATTGTCCTTCATTTTTACACTGCTAATTAACCAGCAATTTCATCCTCTGCCCATCTGGGTAAATTTGGGGAAAGGCTTTTTTTTTTTTTGGTGGGGGACTTGTTTTCCAGACACTTTGGGAAAGGTCAAATTGCACAGTGTTGTTCTTGTTAAAGGATCATATAGTGTCATTAGGAATTGGTAGGTCCCCAGAGGCTCTGCTCCTGCAGGTTATCAAATAATTTCTCCTGTGCTCTCCACACATCCAGATCTCCAAATCTGGTGAGGGGCATGTGTCCACATTACTGTAAAACCTGAACATCTCTGTCCCTGAGCCTTGCTATGCTGCAGCATCAGGTCTTATGCTTCCCCTCACAAGGGATGTTTCTGGAGAGGTGACACGGGTGCACTGGAGCCAGGTGACATCTGAATTTGTGCAGTTGCAAAGAGGTCTTCAGGCCATTCCTGCCAGCTGCCACCCTTGGCTCTTGCCTTTCAGGCTCCCTTGCTTGATTTATTAAGAGCTGAGGCTCACAAAAGGAGGCAGGCACCCATGTGCACACTATCATATCAGTCCATAAATTTCCCTTTTAACAGCTTTTGTTGTAGAGACATCAGTCCCTTGGCTGGGATAGGGCTTGTTAGTAAAGAGAAGGTCTTTTTTTAAATGGTTGCTATTTATAGCATACACAAACCCTGCAAATAACCATTGTCCCCAGTCTATTATTAAGAGGTTTGTCTCTTTCCTTCTTACCTCCTTTCTGCCATCACTGGTTTGAAGCAAAAGTCTCCATTATCAGTGTGTGTCTTCTGATCTCAATACCAGCTATATCAAGGCTGGCTAGATTTTCCTGGCAAATCAGTCCTTTTAACTGGAATCATCTTGAGCTTAGGGATACTGCAGTAGCCTGAAGAATGTGAAAATAAATTTGACAGTAACGAAATCACTCCCCACCCACACCCAATAGCTGCTGTATCCTGACCAAGTCAAAAGAAACCTCAAAGGCTCTCTGGGGTGGAATTGTTTTTACTTTTGTGTGCTGTCTAGCACTGAACATCTTGTTAGCATTTAGCAAACAATAATCTGGGTGTGGGTGACTTGGGGAATATATAATTGACAATGTAGTCTGTCATCTCTTGGCTGGCTTGCAGACAGTGTATACTGAGTTTCTGAGGATGCTGTTCCTCAGATACTTAGTAAGTTCTTACCGCCTGTTGTCTATTTGGTGGACCTGAATCCTGAAATTAATTGCATCTCAGAACAGTTGTTACTGGAGTGGACAGGTGTCCACCCCTCAGAATCAATCACTATACGTGGCGCTTACAAGATTCTTTGTCATTGTCAGTGGAATGAACAATAATTGAATGGTCATGAAGACAAACACCATTTCACCCGAGAGTGAGATCATACAGTCAGAGTACATCAGTGAAAAATTCAGTATGAAGGATGCCTGCAAAATTGCTACTTGTACTGTAGCTGTCAACTAACAACTATCATCTGTACAATATTAAAAATCAAGAAAGGGACCTAGTGGGCCTTTACCCAATGACCTGCAGCTAATGTATTTTTTTCCATTATTCAGTGGGGGAAAATACAATTTTTGTACTACAGTTATTATTGGTTCAACCAGGGAACATCTCTTTAAGAAGCCCAAATAATGGGGAGGCATCTGACCCTCTCAGAGTAGGAAATGGAAAACCTGTGAACTTAGGAAAATTAGGCTCCATCTGAATGGTCCTTCACATCATGGAGCTGTGATCTTTGAAGGAGGAGTGTAGACCCACAGATCAGCCTTACTGCTCCTTCCCTGATGCAGGGTGGAGACATCTGCTTGAGTTTCTAAAGACACTTGTATCCTCCTAGGTCAAACAAACTGGGCACATCTACAGGAGATGTTTACTGCACAGAAGACTAAGTAGCTGGTCAGTAAACATCTTGCCATCTACATGGGTGCTGGAGTAAACTATTTTTTTTTTTTAACTAATTTTAAAAACTGCCAACTAGCCCCGTGCTGAAGCATCCTCTTGCCCCAACCAGCCTCTCTACAGCACATTGAGCGGGCAGGGGGTGGGCCGCCCCAGGCTGGCAGGCTGACCCCTGGGACTCCTTGGCAGCCAGGGCCGCTCTGACTCAGTTCAGCGTGCTGCAGTCCCAGGCACATCATGTTCAAATGGCAATACATTTTGGAGTAATAAACTCCAGAGTTTATTGCTTCGCATTAATTGCACATGTAGATGTGCCCACTGAGTACCAGAGAAAATGCCAGGGGAGGGGAACCATAGTAAAATGGAGAATAGCTGGCTCCCTGTTCCCAAGGACGCAATAGGACACATGCTTGGCCCTGAGTATTTGAATTGGAGCCCAGAGTGCAAGCAACAAGCACCAAAAAGAAAACAGGGTTGTAAACAGTATGAAATACACTTGCTGGGGCGATGTTAGCATCACTGTAATTGATCCCCAATCCTAGTTAAGCGCAGAAGTTTCAGAAAATCTATTAAATCAGAGATTCTTTTATAGTTTTCAGATTCTGCCATATTTCTATCAGATTCTCCCTTCTGTCTACTCCACAGACTTC